TCGCATATACAAGCTGAAGTAACAACTCTTCATTAAAGTGCTGTGTTTTCCTGCCCTTGTACTTTCCTTATATGAACATAGAAAGAGAGAATGCAACATAGTGGTGGTGAAGTAACTTGAGAGCATTGATCAGCCGCTGAAAATGACAATTCAAGGCAGAGGACCTACCTGAGGTACTGAGACTCGATCGCAACTCTCCTATCAGAATAACATTGACCATTGGCGGAAGGCAATCTGGGTGCACTTTTTGTATTGCCCTGAGCTAACACAACAAAAATTTAGAGATTTGTTCAGCATTATTCTTTTGGTGCAGATTCCTTCCTGCTTTTGTTGCATTGGATGGTTTTTGCTGACCCCAGTGATAAGGCCACACAAATTTGAAAAATGCACTGCAGCCACACATTGCAGCTCCTGCACAGCTCTACAGACATCACAGCCTGCTGCATCTTTTAAAGTAAGCTTTGTTCTACGTGAGAAGTCTTCGATAATGGTGTCAGCTTTTCAGGGATGAACTGGAAAGTATCTGATGCCTGTGAATTTAAATACTTTATTGTGCACACCATGCTTACTAGAAGACCAGGTTGTGAATGCAGAGAAGGAGGCTTTAAAAGTTGCGATCGATATGGGAAATAGAGGTCTGTGCAGAATCAATGCAATTGGTTTATCAGATGCTGACCAGCAGGATCCATCAAAGCTATGGGCAGCATAAGAAAGTCAGTTTCTCATGGAAGTAAATTTGTGTGCACTGAGGAACTCATAATATGGAGAGAAATCCAACAACAGCTTGGACAGCTTTTATTAACCAATGAAGTGAGAACTTCTCTGCTGAAGTGATAGAACACAATATGGAAGTTACTATTGCCTCAATTTCTTGGAAAACCCAAGGAACGTGGTGTGGAGAGTATATTACAGGGTACATGCAGATACAAGACTGGGAGGGAGGCAGTACTTGCAGCCTGATGGTCTGAAATGTCTGTAAAGATGATATCCAAACTGTTTAGTGTTCAAATGGAATTGCTACATTGGAAATGGTTTCAGGACATGTATGAACAATTGACCATCACCACATCATATCGCTATGATAATTTTGTTCAAATGGGATGTATGAACAATTGACCATCACCGCATCTTATCACTATGATAATCTTGTTCAAATGGGGTGACTGAATTTATGGTGAGGACGGTTGGAAACCATGCAAATACTAAAGTTGTGTCGTTATCTCTTCATGTGATGCCAGCAGACTCCAGGTTTTAATCATCTGCTGACATTCCATTTGGTCACCCATTGAGAACCACATTAACAAGTTATCATCTCATGAAGTTGTATTTGATGACAGACTGTCGACACCAGAAACAAGATTGAAATGAAACCCGTACATGATGTGCATTCAGGTGGAGACTTCCTCCAACAGCAGTTGGCCAGAAGGTGAGGGTTCTACACCTGCAGCAACACAGGGATTCCAGCAGCAGTGTGTAAAGACCCACACTTGTATGAGGTGATAGACCAAGTGGTGAGATATCTCAAAGGAGTTGACACCATATCAGGTGTCAGGGGATTCTCTGTTAACCAAGGCAAGCAACCAACATCACCTGTGAGTATCCACATTCATTTTGCAAATGAAGAGATTATAAGCAGTGCACTGATGGCTGAGGACAATCTTCAGGCAGATTGGAATGGATAACTGGAACACACTTATGTATTGATGTCACAAGGTTTGGTCAAATGATGACCATGAATGCATTGCGAATTGACGGGAAAATCCCATCTGGTTCACTAATGTCCCTTAGGGAAGGACACTGCCATCCTTACCTGGTCTGGCCTACATGTGACTCCAGACCCACAGCAATGTGGTTGACTGTGACCTGCCCCCTGGGCAATTAGGGATGGGCAATAAATGCTGCCTAGCCAGCAACGTCCTCTTCCTTTTTTATCCGATAAAGAAAAAAAAATCATTCAACAATGAAATGTAATCACCACCTTGATGAGAAGAGTTCCAAATGTTCTTGTACTATTTTCTTTAAAAGGTGCTATAATTGTCAAATTTCATATGCCTCTTAAAGGTTGCTTATTAATGGATGTATTGTTTATACCATATTGGATTGTTATTAGCAATGTTGAGATAATGTATAGTGTTAGTATGATTAATATTTAAACATGTTCATGCTAATATTGTAGGAAGTGATGCATTGTTGTGTGATTCATTTCTTTTGCATGTGCATGCTAGCATGAGGAAGCTGAAGCAATGTCTTCATTAAAGCTCACTGTTCAACCTCTATCTCTGCCTTCATTTAGTTCTGTGTTTTTCTGAAAAGAGGGAATACCACAAAAACAGCGCAAAATATTCTGAGAACTTCTGAGAATCTCAACTTTGTGGCATCATCTCAAGATAGGGTATGCAATCATTACGTCTTAGGAATAGGAGAAATTTCTTCATTAAGAAGACTGTAAATCTTTAAAATTCTCTACACCCAAGAGCTGAGGATGCTTAAACAATCAATATATTCAAGGTGGGAGATATATAGGATTTGTGGACACTTGGGGAATTGAGAGGTATGGGGATTGGCTGGGAAGGTGGAGTTGAGATTGACAGTCATCCAGTAGAGACTGTTCTTTGAGCTGTTTTAAAGATCCACAGTTTTCCCCCAGTGTTCAAGGACCGGAGTTTCAAGTGTGAGCTAAATGTGCATGGAGCTCTAATTTTACTACTTTAAATAGCAGCAACTTGTAATTCATCCTGGTCACTCACCATTTCCCCACACAGCAGCAAAATAGTTTATCCTACAGCTGGCTGGGGAAACCTGAATGAGCGAAGCTGAGATTTGGAGTATCATTCACCAGGATCATTTAGGCATGTCAAAATAATTCAGTGTCTTTGAAAACAAAGAGTATAAAAACATTGTATCCAAATAGATTAAAACAGGAAATAGATAACAAGTGCAAAAGAAAGGAAATAATTACGCAGGATTTGGCCATCGGAACAAATGGATTTTTTTTTTTCTGTGTCTTCTACTGCTTAACACCAGATATACATGCACATGCAAGTGTGCAAATACATGTGTGTGCATGCACAAATGCACATGCAGACACACCACAGACACATGTTCATGGCCCCAAGTCTCTCTCTTTCAGGCCCCCTGCTCCATGCCCTAAATTACTTTCTCTGCAAAACCTTACCCTGTTTTCCTATTTTCTGTCTTAAATGGGCAACCCCTTATTTTTAATCTGTGATCCCTAGTTCTAGATTCTCCCTTAAGCGGAAGCATCCTTTCCACGTACACCCTGGCAAATCCCTTCAGGATCTTATGTTTCAATTAGTCAACTCCGCCTCATGAAGAATAGCTGGCCTGTATTCTCTGGCGTTTAGTAGAGTCAATCTGCTCATTTCAGGTCTGGTAACCCTTCTAAGAACTGTTTTTAACGTATTACCATCCTTCTGTAAGTATGGTGACCAGTACTATACATAAAACTCCAGATGTAGTCCTGCCAATGTCCTGTATATCAAAAGTATAACCACCCTACTGTTGCATTTAATTTCCCTTGCAATAAAATATAACATTTTATTAGCTTTCCTGATTACTTTCTATATATTCCCCTCCTAATACCAGAAACCACCACTCCAGATTATTTCTTCCCTGATGGGAACTCTGGCTTTTTGATACCTGCTCCTAACTCTTTGAGAGTGCTTACATTTCACAAGAGATCAGCTAACTATGCACAATCTAGTCATTAAAGGTTGCCCATCTCAGGGGCTTTTAACCAATCACTTAAACTGCCAGTGCAGTGTAAAGACAGGGTTAACTGGTTGTTTGGTTGTTTAATTTGGCATTTGGGAGTTTTGGACTGAGATATCTGTACAAATAAAGTGAGCTAAAAGATTTGTCATTGAGGACTCTGAGAAGAAATGACAAAGATCACATGTTTAAATTTTAAACTATTAAAACTTGTTCTACTACTTGTTTATATAAAGATGAAGCCACCAAGTAGATTGAGCCCATGTTCAAAGTGCCAAATTCCAAAGTAATATGAAGTCAAAGTTAAACCCAGTTCAAGTTACTCCATAAAAATGCCCCCCCCCCCACACCACCACACCACCACCACAAAACACCGAACCCTGATCTGATCGCCCCCGTCCCCTGGCTTCCTGTCTTAATTAGTTCAATCTCCTGCGGTCGGATTGCAGCTGCTGAAGTCATGTGTGAATGTGGGTGGACAATGTCAAATACATTCTGACTGTTGAGCATCTGATACTTAGGTTTTTTGTTTGGAGTGCGTGAATGCCTAACATTGTTGCCTTTAAAATAAATTTCTCTACATTGCAACCCCCTTTCCTCCAATGCTCATTGTTCCAGCTTTGACTTAAATTCAAAACCATGTTTCAAAACAACTTGCAGTAGAAAAAAGACAAATGGATGCAGTTTGGTTTATTCAATTATTAAGACATTAAGATCTTGTTTTTACAATATTCAATCTAGTGAAGCGAGATGTTCTGCTGTTTCACTTCTGATAAAATATAAACCAGGATTAAGGGGATTTTATTGCCACTCCGTCTATGGTCTCATCCCTTCATTGAATCTCTAAGATCCTCCAGCTCGCCAATGCTTTGAGATTTTGGTACTCCCCCAATTCTGGCCCCTTGCACATCCCTGATTTCCATTGCATTACTGTTGGCAATCATACATTCAGTTGCCAAGACTTTGTAATTTCTTCTACTTCTCTATTCTACTCTCTTCCTTTGAATTATTCCCTAAAGTCTGTCTCTTTGACCAAGATTTTAGTCACCTTCTTGCTACCTTCTTGTGTGTCCTAATGTCAACACATTTTTTGATATTACTGCTGTGAAGCACATTGGAATGTATTACAATGTTAAAGACCCAAAATAAATGCAAGCTGTTGCTGCCTCCTTTCTCATTACTAAAACGATGAGCAGGAAGATCCCCTCTTCCCGATGAGGAATAAAATGTAAATAACCTACAGGTATTGACTGTTTTTATTCTTGTAGCTGTTCAGCGTCCTGACAATCCCTGCCAAACTGAAACCCACAACTGTGACTCACCTGACCGCGCTCGCTGTATTTACGCTGGTGGCTCAGATTTCATGTGTGTCTGCTTACCTGGCTTCTCGGGCGATGGAAAATCCTGTGTTGGTATGTAATGACCTGTTTCAATAAAACACGTGTCAGTTTTCTTCCTGATTATGTGCATAAATCAGAGTTGTGGAAGATGGGGAAGGACTAGATATTTTAACAAACACAATGCTGGAGAAACTCCGTAGATCTGGCAGCATGCATGGGGAGACAAACCAATTTATGTTTCAAATCCGGTCCTCAGAACTATTGCAGATACTTCTGAACCAGTGTCATACTGGATTCAAAACATTAACTCCCTGTTTCCCTCTCCGCAGATGCTGCCTGATGTGTTGAGTTTCTCCAGCATTCTCTGTTTCAGATTTCCATCATCAGCCTTTACTTAAGGGATTTTTACACACTTATACCAAAAATTGTATCAGCCAGAATGCTTTTGGACATCTAGTTGCTGCAGGGCCATTTGAGAGGGGCCAGGTCCACTTGTTGCACAACTTTTTTAGAGGCTCCCAAAGGATTCTAAGGGTGTAAGTAATGCCAATAGGTAATACGTTAATAAGATGCACAGATTCACTGAGCAATTGGGTCAATTGAAATTAGATAGAAGAACAAAATATTGGTGATGCTGGAATTCCAAAAGTAAGTCTAAGTATTGGAAACATGCAACAGATCGAGTAGCAACTGTGGGACAAGAAAAATTTTAGACCTACAATCTGTTGTTAGAAGATTATGGGGATTTAACAGTTTATCAGTAAGCACAGATCTGCAAGAAAGGAGGATGAAGGTGGAGAGAAGAAGAAGAGGAGCGTGCCTGTGATATGGTAGAGGGCAGGAGAGATCAAATGACAAAGGAATGATGATGGTAATGGGACATGTAAACAAATAGGGATGCAGTGAAACTGAATATTCTTCCCATAGTAAAATAATGATGGATTTCAGTTATGCAAGCAGAGTGATATTGTACTCCTTGGAGGGAGAAGCCAAGAGAAAATTGAGAGGTTTTGATAGAATAAATAAGCGGAGAAATGGTTTCCACTGGCAGGGGTCAGTAACCAGAGGACACATTTAAAATGATCAGTGAAAGACCCAGAGGGAAGATGGGATATTTGTTTCCACAGCAAATTGTGAACTGGAATGTGATGCTTGAAAAGCTGGTGAAAGCAGGTTGAAAGAGAATTTGGAAAAATATTTCAAAACGATACATTTGCAGAGCCATGGGAAAACATTGAAGTAACTTAAACAAAGAGCTAGCACAAGCAGGGTAGACAGAATAGTCACAACAACAGAAGTTGCTGGAAAAGCTCAGCACGTCTGGCAGCATCTGTGACGAAAAAAATCAGAGTTAATGTTTCAGGTCTGGTGACCCTTCCCCAGAACATGAGGAAGTTCTGAGGAAGGGTCACCGGACCTAAAATGTTACCTCTGATTTTTTTCATCACAGATGCTGACAGACCTGCTGAGCTTTTCCAGCAACTTCTGTTTTTGTTCCTGATTTACAGCATCTGCAGATCTTTCGGGTTTTATTTAGACTGAATGGTCATTGTGCTCTGTGAAGAGCTCTGAACTTGGCTGCACTGTGCTCCATGTTTCTGACTGACAGCAACCAAGAGTTATATCGCTTTAACTGAATGAAGTTCACGCCAAGATATTTTTCTTTCTTTTTGTTAAAAGACAACATTATGTAGTTCTTTCTGTATTTAGCTAATTGGAGTTATTTTATGCATATGAAAAATCAATTACGTAGGTTTCAGAGAACTGGGCCCTTTGTTGTTGAAATGACAATATTGATTATTTTTAATAGTTCAATAAGGCTAAACGCAGGCAAGCCTAGATTTATTTTGTCCTGGGTACACAATGAGATAATGATTTTAATTGTGTTGTATATGGTGAATAAAGGGTAGAGAGAAACTATTTCTGATGATGGTGAGGGATTTGAGAACAAGGGAATATATTTAACATTAGAGAGAGACTATGGGGGTGGGGGCGTGGGTAGGAATTATGTTAAGAAACACCATTTTTCACAGAGTTGCAGTAATATGAATCACTGTCCCTCTATCTTGTTGAGGCTGGAAGCTTTTTGGGGAGTTGGGTGGGTGTTCATCAATAGAAACTCAATTTAATAAGGATTTTGGTTAGAAGAAGTTACAAAATCAAAAATAGTAGATGGAGTTAAGTAACAGACGAGCCAGGCTGAGGTGCTAAATGGCTACTTGTGTTGCCACGTCTTCAGTGACAAGAAACCATTTTCCTCTTTCAAGATATTGATGAATGTCAACCAAACCGATGCCATCCATATGCTCAATGCTACAATACACCTGGATCGTTCACTTGCCGCTGTTCTCCTGGCTATCAAGGTGATGGGTTCCAGTGTACACCTGTAGGTAAGGAAATTATTTCACCCACTTTAATCTTCACTTAGTCACTTCCTCATGAACCAGCACTGTAAGTTTCTAAAGTTAGCAATCTAAATAAGAACACTAGGGACTGGTAAACGATGTATCATATGCAAGACTTCTGTTGTACATTACCTTTTAGATTTTGTCTCCACACAGTCAGCTCTCTGGAATACTGATCCACTACATTCCTTTACTCAATCCCATCTAATTTTTTTTTTTCTCAACCATTTATTCAATCAAAAATTATTTGAGATTATCATTGTTTCTGTTAGTGAAATTAGAGATAGGCCAATGAATAAGTGTTAGTGAATTCCATCCTTAAGATCTTGAAAATCAAAGTGAGATGCAGTATGTGTCTTGTGTTTTTTTTCCTTAAACGAAGTTTTCATTTTAGGGAATATCTATATTCAAATAAGTGACATCTGAAATGATGATGGTAGTTAACACTGTTACTTGGCGCAGTTGTGATTTTCATCATAATCTTGCATTTACAAGAGGTTTGTTTCAAGTCATAGTTCAATTCATTTTCTTCTGTGAACAGCAGTCTTCTGTGGTGAACCTGCCAAATGCACCAGCCACGTGTTTATGCAGCCCAAAGTCCTGGAATTCTGTGCTGTAAGAATAGAATCATACAGTTCAGAGTGAGGCTATTCAGCTGGTTATACTTATGCTGTTTTTTTTGAGAAAGTTATCTAATTAGTCTCTCACTCCCCTGCTGTTTCTCATGGCCCAGCAAATTATCACCTTCACTTTTATCCAATTCCCATCACTGTTGAAAAGCAGTTTAACTTTTGTCCCAACTGCCCAGCCAGGTAAATAAGTTTGACTCTTAGTCGTAGGTAGCTAATGCCCGATGTATCCAATTCATTCAATTGGAATGCTATCACCTGATGTTAACCATCTTATTCCACTAATTTTCAGCATAGCACCTCTGGAGCAGGTGGGGCTTGGGCCTGGGCCTCCTGGCTTGGGGATGGGTACACTGCTGCTGCACCATGTGAGCCCTTCTACTTCTTTATTATATCCTTATAAAACAGGGAAAAAAAATCAGTAATGATAAACCCTTAAATTTTAGTTTGCACATCACCTGATGAACTGAATTTGTTTCTGCAAAGCCAAAGAAAGAAGGGACTTGCATTTCTGTGGTGTCTTTCTTAACATCAGAATATCCAAAAACTCTTTTCAGACAACTAGGTAGCTCTTGAAATGCATTTGCAGTTGTGATCTTGGAAATGCTGGGTCAAATTTGCATCAATGTGAAAATGACGAGATCATGGTATATTTTCATCCATCTGACTGGGCAAAATGGAGCCTTAATTTAACACCTTATTGAAAAGAAAGAACTTCTGGCACTGCTGCGCTCCTTCAGAACTGCACTGGGAGTATCAACCTGCTTCATGTGCTCAAGTCTCTGGAGAGGACCTTAAGCCCACATTTAAGAAAAGACCCAAGTTTTTATAACAGACATATAATATCAACAGAATAACTTTTCTGGATTACATATTATCCAAATATCTAGTAAAATATCTATGATCTAAATACATACCTGCTTGTGAGTGTAAGAAAGTATACTGATTTTAAACTAATTTTCCCAAAAGCAGATGACATAGCAAACATTTAAAATATGAATACTTGGAACTTCTTTGGTGTTGTAATGTTTAAAGTCAAATAGTTTACAAGCACAAAAGCAGTGTAGTTTACATGCTGACCCTAGATTAGGCAAACTACTAGAAAGTCCTTGTTAAAATGTGCAGTCCCCTTCAGTAAAGTCAATTATTATTTAAATACTTTTCTTTGTCAAGACAATAATCAGTGTTGTGTTCTGTGAGTCAGAAATTACTTTTATAAAATGTAACTATCAGAATATCACATGAAAGGAATTACAGCAGAATTTAGCCATTCATGAGGTGAATAATTCTTCTAAAAGCACAGATTGAAACATTGAAGGGATGCCAGCAGAACTTGCTTTTAAGGTCTTTGAATTGGAGAAGGGCAAATTACTTAATAAGCCTTTATTCCTGAATATAGTTTAGCTCTAATAGGTAAAGGAAGGCGTGGCCAAATATGGAGGGATGTTTTACATAGTTTGGTACATTCTCTGTCCATCATCCACCCTCTCTATATGAGATTCTCAGACGGAAACACCTTTTACTTTCTGAGCAGTAGATGCAGCTATTAAAGAGAGGTTTTAATTTTCTTTCGGAAACTTCCCTACATGAGGATTTCCTAATCCAATTTACAGCCAACTATCTACTTTTGGTGTATTTTGTAATATAGGATGTGCAGTAGTTAATTTGCATTCACAACGTTACAGATGATGATATTGGTTGAGGAATAAATCTTGGCCAGATCACTGGGGAGAACTCACCTACTCCTGTGAAATAGTGCCGTGGGATTTTTGGCTATCCAAGAGGGAAAGCACAGTCTTGATTGAATGTCTCATCCAAAAGGCCAGCAGCCTCCAATGTAGCACTCCTTCATTATTGTACAGGATATGTCTGCCTGGATAGTCTCTGCAGTAGACCTTGAATACAAGACCTTCTGACTCAGGTGAGAGTGCTGCCCTGTGATACCAAACTGACAAAATGGGAATATGTTCCAGTGCTGCCACAAATTTTCAGACTGGTTTCAATTGTTGCATTGCAATACACAAGCAGAATTACTGGCCTGTGATAGTGGACTCGTAAATGAATATCTGTAGATGGTAAACTTAATGCCACAGAATTTTCCGGAGTGGAACATCTCGTGGTGTTCCATTTTATTGCTTCATCCTTTAGCCCTGTGCTTTTTGCTGTGTACCTCTGAAAGTGGAAAGTGATAATGGTATGATGAGAACCATGAGGCCAGCAATCTGTCTCTTTTAACCAATGAGATTAAAAGACTGAAGAATAATCAGGAACAACTATCTAATTAATTACACTCCCTTTTTTTTCTAAACTGTCCTGCAGGTTTTACCCACATTTATCTGTTTCTGCCTTGAAAGGTTTAACTGGATCAGCACTCATTGTCCCAACAGTGTATTTCCACATCACAACTGCCTGTCATAAAGACAGCCATTCATGCCTGACAAATGAAGCTCAAACCATGGAAATTGGACACTTGTTCATGTAGGGCTCATTCCCTCTTTGTGTGAAAATGTATGAAGTTATGAGAGGCATAGATAAGGTAGACAGTAAGAAACTTTTCCCCTTGGTGGACGGATCAATGACCTGGGGCATACCTTTAAGGTAAGGGGCAGGAAGTTTAAAGGGAATGTGTGGAAAACATTTTTCACCCAGAGGTTGGTGGGAATCTGGAACTCCTTACTAGTAAGGGTGGTAGAGATGGAAAGTGCCATAACATTTAAGAATGATTAGATGTGCATATTTAATGCCAATGCATAGAAGACTATGGGCAAAGTGCTGGGAAATGGAATTAGAAGAGTTAGGTGTTCGTTTTTGACTGGCTAGATTCAATGGGCCGAAGGACTTTTTTCTGTGCTGTAGGCATCTATGACTCTGTAACAGCCAAGGAGGATGAGTTGGAGTCAAATTTGGGTACAGAAAGAGAAATCAAGAGAAGGAAAGATTGAATCAAGAAAGATAGAAAAGAGAAAAAGGGAAAGCAATTTTAACAAATAATCAAATTTTGAAAAATAATTACTGTAGAAATGAAACACCACGGTTCAAGCTGTTAACTTTTTTCTAGCCAGCAAGTTAAGTGGCATCAAGGAGCATAAATTGTCTAATTAAAAGGGTCTTTAAGTACCAGCCCTAAATACCTAAATATCTGCTGCGAATTTAATAGGTAATTAATATACGACATTTTTTGTGAAACACTCAGTAGGTTTACAAGACTAACAGTGGACCATGCTAATCCTCCAACTGGTGGCAATTCACAATCCAGAAGTTACGTCCTCCGGAGAAATTGCTGGACAGTTTTCACATCAATATTTGACTGCCATTAAGCCAGTGGTTGTTTTGGAGCCACATCTGAGCCAATGTCCCATAATCGTCTTTTGGAACTATGTCCCAGTTAATTTTTTACATGTTTCGGCTATATGTTACTGATTCCTATTTTACAAGCCATAAAGAAACTTCAATAAGCACATGCTGAGTAAGTGGAGAAAAATTAATCCCTGTTAAATGGTGTACTCAAATTGTTAATTAGCTCCAGAACCTGACAGCATGTAAACATTAAGCATGACTGTAGTGCAGACTGTGGTTGGAGATAAAAACTACCATGTGGCTGGGAAGCTAGAGGGGATTTGCATGCAGAAAAGAATAACCTAATAGCATGTCTAGCCAGGGTATAAAATAATCGCACTTCATTCCCTGGGTGCTTTCGCTCCCACAAACTAGTTCCTGAAAGCAGACATAGAAGGATGAAATAAGAAAGTTTTATAATTATGGTTTGGTCCTAATCATGAACATGTTGACTGACTTACCTTGACACTAGTTCTCACGAGTAGGGCTTGACTTTATTGAGCCTGTTCTACACTTAGTTCCTTGCAGAAGTATCTATGTGCTGGCCCAATTCAAAGCTGGCTGTCCAATTCCCAAACTCTGTTTGGAAACTGTAAATCTGGTAAATTTGTCAAAATGATATCTGGACTGAGGAGAGATTGCACAAACCAAAATTCTACTCCCAGGAATTTAAAAGGGCATGGGAGACAGCTGGACTAGCTGAAAAAGCCTATCTGTGTAACTTTGTTACTGGCAGCCAGAGAGACTGGCTTTTATTTCCCAATGTTGGATAGTATGTTATGGGTGCTCTTCCAGTTGTTTTTAGCCAAGGGTTCATATATGTTTGATGATTAGGAACAAAAACAAAGTTGCTAGAAAAGCTCAGCAGGTCTGGCAGCATCTGTGGAGGGGAAAACAGAGTTAACGTTTCAGGTCCGGTGACACTTCCTCAGAACTGATGATTAGGTTGGGTTTATGAATAGAAAGCTGTGGCCATACTGGAAGTACTCCTAGAATCTTGGGAGGAGATATCTTTGTGCAATGAGTCCATTTTAAGATTGATCTGACTTGTTCATGAATGACAAATACATGCATATGCTTCAATGTTATTGATTGAGTGATACGTATTGACCAGGGACACTAGGCCTTACATTTAGTCATGTAGTGGGTCTGAATGGACAGGTGGGTGTAAGTGGAACCATTAGAATATAGTATCATGTGGAGGAGGTTGGGATGGACTGTGTTGAAAGTGGTTCATTCTGGGCTTGTGAGCGTGTTTGGTGGCCAGAAAGAAAGGAAAACAAGCCATGGTGCCATATAGTATTGATGACTTCAACCATCCAATGAAGACTAAGTTACAAATCTCAACTGGAGGATGGGGAACAGACTTTGAGAGAATTTGCAGAATTAAATTGTTTGGAGAAGCTAAGAGTCATTTAACTTTTTTTCTTGTGTTAACTTAGGAATGGTTTGGAATGTAGTCCCAGAAGGTAACTATGGATGGACATCAGTAAGATTAAGGATTAGATGGGAGGTTGGGTATGGGAGCAGCGTCACAAGTCAAGAGAGCAGGTATTAGGCCTTCACAGAATTTGAGTGTACTGTTCTATCCAGTGGGATCGATTTAATCATTAATGATGAACGGATCCTTCTTCAAACTTCCTCTGCTCATTTGATTGGCAGGTGTTTTCTACCTGCCAACTTCTTTGGAAAAAAAAATTAGTGTTGGTATGGCAAACAATTTAAGGATCAAGACAACAGTGAAATAAAGAGTCTGTTTGAAAACATTATTAAGACCAGGCTGTGTTTTTTTCAAACATATTATTTTTGTGTCTGATTTATCTGAATATCTTAACTGGGTATGGGCTGGATAGATGGCCATTCTGTGTGCACTCGACCCTTAAACTACTGCATTTTCTATTTGTTGCTGAATAGGCTCAGGGAAAACGCAATGTGAGCTTCACAGGGACAGTTTTCAGAGTAACTTGCAGCCAAGAAGACCCAGGCCTGCTGGCTTCTACATCCCTGAGTGTGATGTTCATGGGAATTACTTGCCAGTCCAGTGCCTCTCAAACCAAGAGAGCTGCTGGTGTGTGGACACAAATGGTAATGAAATTGCAGGAACCATGACTAGCCATGGAGTGCGACCCCCATGTAAGTATTGGCACTCTTGGGTTAAGTTATTAGAAATGAAAAATGAATGCAAATAATCCACTAAAGTGCCCAGTTTGAAACCGGAGACGTCAGTAGTAGATGTTCTAAATATTTATGTGATATTGGAATTATCAGAGGCTAGGTGTTGTTTACAATATTTACCTAACATCATCAAATTGCTTTTGTCTAGCATCTTTTAAATGTGGTGAGTCATATGAAGGTGCTTCACGGGATAGGGATATTGATTCAAAGAAGGGAGCATTTGGATTGATGACAAAAGCTTGAGCAAAGATTTTAAGGAGGGTCATAAATGAGGAATGAGAAGCAGAATGAGGCTTAGCAAGGGAATTTTAGAGCTTACAGCCTAGATAATTGAAGGCACTGCTAATGATAGCATGAAAAGAGTGAGGCCTGTGTAAGTTGTCAAAATTGAATAGAGTTGAAAGTATGTACATCTAAAATTTTCCATTTACTGCTGGATTCCTTGTTTGTGGGCCATTTATACAGCTGAACGGCTTCACCAGTTGCGTAAAATGAAAGCTTAAGTGTAGTTGTTTTCGAATACGGTCATTTTGATAGATCCTATGGGAAATAAAATTGCTTGAAATGTTTACTTCCAACTTTCTCCTGCTATCCTCATTCCTTCCGGTGACATTGCTTGAGAAAGTATTAGTCCACTTGAAAGTTTAAAAGCATGGTTCTCAGCTTGCTCGTGAAGCAAGTTTATCTTGTGCAGCATCAGTGAATACTGGTAGATTGGCCAGTTAATACGTTGCAGTTCTCTCCTCCCGTTCTTATATGGAAACAAGAACTGAATTGCAGTAGAATGTCTGTGCATAAATACAGCCAAGCACTTGACTGAGTCTGAGCCTCGCAAAGGTTTTCTTGCCCCCTGCCCTCCTGCTACATTTGCAAAAGAGATGGTATTTCTGGAATTTGCTATTCCTTGCAGTAAATACTTGCAAGTAAGTGTTATTCATAGTACAACTAATTGGGAAGTGAACTTTTAATACTTATAAGGCAACATGTGCAAAAACAAAATCATCACTTTCTGAACCTTTTCAGCAGTAGATTGATGACTATTTTTGATCATGTGAAAATTATTTTTTTTAAAAAAAAAGCACTTGAAATATTTTGATCTGGCAAACAGCTCCAAGAGAGACAAATTCTTAAATGTCCCAGTAGATGTGTGTTTTATTTTAAACAACTCTTGATATAATAGTCTACTTTTCTGAAGAAGGGTTTCCACATTCAGAGGTCAGAATCACAGCTGCATGAAGAGTTTACTCCTTACAGTAATTTTGTCTCAAGCCTGTACTTAAACTGAAGATAGCACTTAATTAAAACACGTCTTCAGTTTGGAGGTGAGGCTGTTGCCCTTTTAAGGTTTGTACACATTCCCAGTTGTCTGATGTACAGCTGCATAGAGGACAGAGAACAGGATGGTCGTGGGAAATATGTGAACGGCTAAATTCTGACTGGGAAAGCTTAAAAATTGTAATCTATTGAAGCACTGCTAAGAGGCAATGGCCTAGTGGTATTATCGCTGGACTGTTAATCCAGAGATGCAGATAATGTTTGGGGACCCTGGTTAGAATCCCACCATGGCAGATGGTGGAATTTGAATTCAATAAATATCTGGAATGAGCGATCTAATGATGACTGTGAATTTGTGGCTGATTGTCAGAAAAACCCATCTGGTTCACTAATGTCCTTTAGGGAAGGACACTACCATCCTTACCTGGTCTGGCCTACATGTGACTCCAGACCCACAGCAATGTGGTTGACTCTTAACTGCCCCTTGGACAATAAATGCTGCCTAGCCAGCGACACCCTCATCCTGTGAATGAATAAAGGAAAAAAAAAGATAAAGGTTCAAGGCCAAGAACGATGTAAAGATTTGTAACAAAGCATCAACTGAGTTAGTCTCTGTCACTCTGAACTGAATTCTTTGGCCTTTTCACAGTCTTGTAGTAACTCCCATTACATTGAGAAGTCTCTTCTGCTCCTCCAAATTGTAATTCATCCTGTCCTTGTCTAAAAGTACTCCATGGAATTGCTGTTTCTAACATAATCTCTGGATATAGCATTGCATATAGGCCAGATCAGGGAAGGATAGCAGATTTCATTCTCTATCAGGTATTAAAAACCAGAAGGGTTTTTTTTTTTAGCAACCAATAATAGCTGTCATTACAGAGACTAGCTTTATATTCCAGATTTATTAATTGAATTTAAATTCTGCTGCTGGCATGATGGGATTTGACCCTGTATGCCCAGGGCCTTAGCCTGGGCCTCTCAATTACTAGTCCTAAGATATTACCACTCTGCTGGCAACTCCCCATTATTTACCTTCTTCCTAATAGTTATCACCTCTCAACTCTGGTATCATCCTTACAAATCTTCTCTGCCATTTCTCCAAAATCTCAATATTCTTTTTGTAATAATGGAAAACAATATTACGTTTGTTACTTTGTTTATCCACAGTTCTGAAAGTGTGATCTCACCAAGTTCTAAGTAAATTCAACAAAACTTCCTTGCTTTTCGGTTCAATTTGGCTTGAAAAGAACCCCAACTTGCATTTTTAATGGCCTTGTTAAACCTATGTTGTTACTCTTAATGATTTGAATGTCTGTACCCTGATACTTTAGTATTCTATCCCATTTCTGAAGAAAAGACTGGCTGAATTAATTTATGTACTGCCCTGAACATGCTTTTGTTTAAATGGTGTGATGTAGTGCTATCTAAACCTGACCGTCTGGTTTCCTTCCACTGTTCTGACAGGCCTTGAGACAGTCACTCCTACTGTTATAGTTGGGCCCACACCTAGACCAGATGTTATTCCACTGCCCCCAGGCACACACCTCCTCTATGCACAAAGTGGAAAAATAGATCACATCCCAGTGGAGGGTTCCAGCCTGAAGAAAAATGAAGCAAAGACTTTACTTCACATTCCTGTAAGCAGTGTGTCAAAACTTCTTACTTCATCAAAAATCTGCTAGATACATGCAGTGTAACAGAACAGTTTTCTGATGATCTGTGCAGAATTTTCATGAATTTTATTTTAAACATTTAACTGATCCAATGTACGTGGTGTTGCCATCTTGTAACTAATTTGTTATCAAAATGTTCAAGTACCAAGTTTAGGTAATAGATTAAGCTGTTATTCTAAACTTGAGTATGCATTCTCAGCACCTCTGCCAGTGCAGTCCTGGGGGAGAAATGCAGTCTTGGAAGTGCTAAACTTTGAATAAGACATTAAACTTGGGTCCTGTCCGACTTTGGGTGGGCTTACCAAATTTTACGGCATGACAGAAGAAGCAACAGTGAGATAATGATTCATTCGTTGCTGTTTGTGCAAGTTGTCTCTCTGTGCTTCCTGCATTATGACAGTAACTGTATTTCAAAAATTAATTAATTGACCAGAGGTGCATTGGATCATCTTGAGGTCATAAAAAAGTGGTATTTTAAAGCAGGTTCATGCCTTTTTGTAAAAACAGTCACTTGTTAGTACAGAAATTGAATATTATTGAAAAGACAGACAAGTTGCTGAAGTTTACCACCTCGCACTTGAGTGCCAAATTTAAGATGATCAAATAATTTTTTTAAGAAATTCATACACAGGGACCTGTTCTGTGCAAACCCAAGGAATACGTTCTCCTTTTTGAATTATTCGGGAGCTTGAAGAGCCCATAGTTGCTCATTGCTGTCTGCATGGTAAGCTTCAGGCAATCAGTCAAACTGTTAACCAATCAGCACATTTTTTCCTGTAGTACAAATTGTCATCATCAGTTGAATAGAATCATAGAATCCCTACAGTGTGGAAACAGGCCCTTCGGCCCAACAAGTCCACATCGACCCTCAGTGCATCCCATCCAGACCCATTCCCCCTATAACCCACCTAATCTACACATCCCTGAACACCATGGGCAATTTGGCATGGCCAATCCACCTAACCCGCACATCTTTGGATTGTGGGAGGAAATTGGAGCACCCGGAGGAAATCCACACAGACACGGGGAGAATGTGCGAACTCCACACAGTCGCCCGAGGCTGGAATTGAACCCGGATCCCTGGCGCTGTGAAGCAGCAGTGCTAACCACTGAACCGCCGTGCCACCAAAATTTGACATTCTTACATTTGTCCTGATGAATGCAAAGTGTAAAACTTCGGCAGCACGTCACTCTTCTCAACACTATTCTTTCTCTATGTTGCTCTTGTTAAAATGATGCTAACCTTATTCTCTCTTGCCCATCCGTGCCCCTTTGAGCAGAGGTTATTTAGTGTCTGATTTGCGGATGTTTCTCCTCCCAGGGATCAATCAGGTTTGAACTCGCATTCAGTTTGTTTCTGTTACTGCGACAGCAAAACCTATGTATGTGGAGCTTTAACTTTGTAAATGTCTCACGGTCATCCACAGGAGCCTAATCAGGTGAAAATTGACACCTGTCCTCAACCAGAGATATTAGCAATGCTGACCAAAAGCTTGGTCCAAGAGGCAGATTTTAACAATATCTCAAAGTAGGAGCGACTTGGAGATGTGTAGGGAGAAAGTTTCAAGCTAAGGCCTTTGTGGCTGAAGGTAGAGTCATCAACATTGGAGCAGTTAAAGATGGCATTGTGCAAGAACCAACTGTATTGATAGAGATCTTGAACAAGTTGCACGCTGTACAATGTCCACTGTGGCTCACATGGTTAAATGCTTACGCTCCTAACTGGAAGGCTTTGAGACGTATGGACAACTGAAGGCAATTAATTTGGTCACTGCCATTTTTTTAAAACACCTACCTTTTGGAGAATGGCAGGAACTTGCAGACATTTTATTTGGTCATTTTTATTGGGATTGCTTGCTGATTCTGAAGTAGTAGTATTGATTACTTTACTATCTGAGCAAAAGAATTCCATTACCTCAAGGGGTATAATTTTATTTGTATCCAGAGGATTCTGCAATATGTTATTAGTGTGCGCCTACCTGAACAGATTTTACTGCTATCCAATGTCTAAGCAAGAATGTGAAGACAGCTGGTCTTTGGCCAGATTTGGCAGTGTGCTCTGAAGCACTGTTAAAGGTAGCGCTGCCCAGCCCCCACTCCATTTCCAGTTTGCACCCCCACAAGCTCCTCCCCTCCAGCTCCCTCATTAACTGAGCATAGAGGTCAGCAGCTGTTTAATGTCACTCCTTCACTATCCCTCCTCTTTCCCCCTCCCCTCACAGACATACAGATATGCTGCCATTGACCTGTCGTAAAAATCCACAAAAGGCACAAGAGTATCTGAAAACATGCGTTCTTTCTGCATATTCTGTATTAATGGGTATCGACAGAAACAAATGAGAACAGTTGCTTTGTCTCAAGTTTCTCTATTAGAAGGAAAAATAAGGAGAGGCAACGTAAACTAAATGGTACAACAATAAAGGGAGTGCAGGAGCAGAGTGACCCAGGGCTGTATGGATGCAGATCCTTTTGAAAGTAGCAGACAAGTTCGTGAAACAGTTTATATTTTTAAAAAGTACTGATACCAGGCTTTATAGATACAGGCATAGAGTACAAAAATGAGGAACCTTTGGGAAAACTTTTTATTTTGTTAGTTAGGTTTCATCGGGACGATTGTGAGCAATTTTCAAGCGTGGGGTGATGCAAGGATATTTCAGAATATTTTATAGAATACAGTCACTTTATGAAGCAGAACAATGACATTGATTCTCCCACTATTTCTGTGCTGGTTCTTGCTTCTCCCATTGCCTCTGTAAGAGCTACACACAGAGCTCGTTCCACTCTCCCTGCCATTTCCCCTTAGCCTCGCAAAAAATCTTTCTCTTTAGATAATTATGCAATTCCTTTTTGAAAGCCACAATTATATCTGCTTCCAAATTGCATTCAAGTGTACATTGTCTGGAAAAGTCATGAGTCTGTCAAACTCCTCCAGAGAGCAGTGGAGGCAGGGTCATTGGATAGTTTTAAAACAGAGGAAAACAGATTCTTAACTAACAAGGGAGATTATCACACGTTGTCTGGAAGGTGGAGTTGAGGTCACAATCAGATTAGCCACAATTCTATTGAATAATGACTGGGCTCAAGGGACTGAACGGCCTGCTCATCTTCCTATTTCATATGTTCTAGACTCTCAGCACTTAAAAAGTTATCTCATAACTTCCCTAGTTCTTCTGTTGATTACCTTGAAATCTGTGTATTCATGTTCTTAACCCTTCTGCTAATGGGAGTGGTTCCTGATTATTTACTCTGACTTGACCTCTCATGATTTTGAGTACTTCTATCAAATCTCCTGTCAACCTTTTTAAAGGTGAATAACTCCAGCTTTGCCAATCTATTTACATGACAGTCTCTCATCTCTGAACTCTTGTATCTTTTCTGCACCTTCTCCAGTGCCATCACATCCTAGTGTGATGCCCTGAATTGAACACAATACTCCAGCTGAAGCTGAACTAAACATTCATCATAAATCCTTTGTTTTTGTGGTCTGTCTCTATTCATAAAGCCCAAGATACTATACATCTTTTTAACTACTTTCTGGATTTGTTTACTGCCTTCAATAATTTCAGTAATATACTCCTAGGTCCTTTTGCTCCTGCACCCATGTTAGTATTTTTTATATTACTTTTCCTTGTGCTTCCTTTCAAAATGTATCATTTCTCACTTCTTTGCATCAAATCACATCTGCCCCACATCTGCCATTCCACCAGCCTGCCTGTATCCGTCTTGAAGTCACCTATTCACGGTTCACAATACTTGCACATGTTGTCATCAGCCAATATTGCAGAATACTATAGAATTTGTGCTAACATAAAATATCAAGTTTACAGTGGGCCATTATTCTCTTGGAGGGAAGATGAGTAGGTGAAGAATATTGATTCAGATAACACGTTGGCCATCCTCAAATTATTTATTTCGGCACAGCATTCAAAGTGGTTTGCTCTGTATAACTGCAACAAAAGAGAATGGCTGAAAAATTGTGTGTCCTACCCATACTATTGCATAAAAGAAATGATGCTTCGCTATATTGGGAGTTGATATCATTGTGTACTAATTGATTAATGTGCTAAGGGCAGTCTACTATACGTGCTACATTGTTCAAAATATATGCAGAACTCGGTGTTTTAAAAAAAATATATTTTGAAGTGGTATTCAAAGTCCTTCTGCAATATTTGGAAGAGGTTTCAGTAGTCATGTTTGTCTTTGGAAAAAAAAATCAAGAAGTTAAAAACAAAAAACACTTTCCCATCCAAGTGACTTATTTTTTCCATTTGTGTTGATGAAATTATATGAGCATAGTTATGTCGAAATGTATTTTGTTGTGAATGATTACATTTTGTGCAACAATCAAGTATCATCCAAACATGAGGCAGACTTCAATAAACTTGTCCAAAAGCCAAACTACATAGCAAATGTTAACTTGGAATTTTATGTCTGTTCCAGTTCATGTGTCTTCCAGTGTTAACTGGCAGCAATTTGCTAAATCCAATCAATGGTCCACACTTTGACAATTTTGCTATTAATACTGCCACAATGTTTGTAGTCATTACTCTGCAATTGGCAAAAACTTATGAAGTTTGCACATGTGCAGGTTTGTGTGGGAATCCAGAAGTTGCTGCCATTGATTTTACCCTGCTTCCTGGTTACGTTGTTGAAACTTCCCTGCATGGCAAGCAAGTAGAGATCACTAACCAAATGCAATTATGCTATTTGTAAATCCCTAACAAATGTTGCACTTTGTTCAATGAAATGTAACTGCATAAAATTCAGCTGAGGAGCCTTAATTGACTGTGGAAAGCTAGTTTTATATTTGGAATGACAAATTTCTCCAATTTGATTCTTTTATAGCAATCACATTTAACTTTTTCTTGTTTTAATACGTTTGTTTATATTTCAACTTCTACCTTAATACCATGTGCCTGAATCATCTATTTTGCTGTTTTTAAAGTTTTTGATTGAAAGTGAAAAGTCAAGGTACTTTGCTTCCTTATTTTCTATCTGTGAGAATACTCCACTGTGGTTGACTGCTTATTCGAGTTGGTGGCATTACTGCATCATCAGGATGCCTCATGATCCCCTTGTTTTGCTATCCCAATCAAACTGGGGTCAGGAAAGGGGTAATTCATACCACAAAAATTGCTAGATCTTTTTGGTCAGCTTTCTTTGAGGTCACTGGTGAGCACTTCCTTTTGTGTCACCACTGATTGTGAGGTCTGAAACATTGTTACTTCTGCAGGCTTTGTTCCAAAGAAATTACTTTAGATCTGTAGAAAGACTGTGCCAATGGGCCAACCATTGTGGTCCAACAGTAGAAACCCCTCCGTCTGCTAATTTTCAAAACACAGTTAGCATTATAAAAGTGATAATAATCCTGGAGGTTTTGTATGTCATGTATGGCTTGTTTTCAAATCATTCATTGATCTTTCCCCTTTTTTATTTCTGTAACTTGTTTCAGCCTTCCAACACACTGAGAACTCTGTATTCTTCTGGTCTGGCCTCTTGAGTATTCCCGATTTTTCATCCCATGCTCACAGCTGCCTATGCCCAAAATTCTGGGATTTCCTCCCTAAAAATCTTCATCATTCTGCCTCCCTTCTCCTTTAATCCTTTCAAAATCCATGTTCTGGACCAAGATTTTGGTGATTTGTTCTAACATCTTGTTATTTGGCCTTGTGTCAATTTTATGCCTGAAGCATTCTATATAAAGTGCCTTGGGACATTTTACTTAGTTCCAGGTGCTATTTATGTTCATGTTGCTGATCCAGTGGTGGTGCACTACCAGGTTGAAGGCTGGGGAGAACCAACAATAACAGAAGCAGGAGTTGCAGTTTTCTTGGTATGGAGAAAGCATTCATGCATTGTGTCTTTCTGCAGATGCTTCATTTTTATTTATGTATAGTATTGGATTAAAGGGGGTTTAAAGCTTTTGTTTATGTAGTCAATTTTGCAGTCTCCGCATCTTTCAAAGCACTTTACAGCCATCCAAAGTGTGGTCACTTGTAATGTATGAAACAGACCTCCCAATTTGCCCCCAACAAATTCAGGCATACAGCAATGTAATTTTATACCATACAATCTGTATTTGTGATGTTTATAGAGAAATAAATAATAACCACAAGTATCTCTCTGGGTTTTTTTTCAAAATTGTACCACAATAGCTTTTAGATCCTCCTGTCAGGGCAGGTGGGATCTTGTTTTAACGTCTTAACCATAAGACGGTACCTGTGATAAAACAGCACCCCCTCAATACTGCAATATTGGAGTGTCAACCTGGATTTTTCCAGTCATAGTGTGAATCCTGAACCAAAATATACTATGGCAAGGAAGTTCCAACTGAGCCGTGTTTGACATAAGGTAGTGAAACTAGGTTGATGTAGTGAATTAATTTGCCTAGCAGCAGCTCAGAGTTCCTGTGTCTAAGCCAGATGTTATTTGGTGTGGGAATGTTCACAGCTGGGAGAGTATTTGGAGTAAAATTTAACTTTGGATTAAATCTGACTACGATGTATATGTTTTGTCAGCATCTGGAAGAAACTATCACAGTCCATAAAGGCATCATTGGAATGCAGAAGTGCATGTTTGGTGAAAACATTTGCGTCCAGAAAGGCCACGCGTAACACTGGGTCCTGGCAGCCCCGTCTTCAAAGGCTCAGACATGAATTTATTCTCATGTTCCTCATTGATTAATTTGCCTTGTTTGAAATTTATTGGCCTCTAATTTGGAAGAACTGTTAAAGTCAGCAACCAGGTAGAGGTGAAATTTAGTAGAACATGAAGTTAGTTCATATTTCACTCCCAAAGCTCTTTGAAGGCGAAACTCTTGGACATAATTGCTGTAATGATAATCACTTCAATGATTCCTTGTCACAAGTCACTAAATTATTCACATGAGTCTTCTTTCACTGTCCTACAAAGTATCTGGTCTCAGTTTAACTTGTTATTTCTTCTGCTTATAGGATAAAGTGGTCATTGGTGTCGCATATGACTGTGTAGAGAAGATGGTGTACTGGACTGACATTGCAGGCCGCACTATCAATCGAGCCAGCCTCCACGGAGGGGAGCCCTCTACTATCATTGGAATAGGTTGGTATGGAAATGAAGTCTCCACTAGGCCCACCTTTTTTTTTTTGAAGCCAGTCCAAATCATGTCTGTAGATTTAATCTCAATTTTCAATGGAGTTATTTGGCACATGGTTAATTGGTATTGCATGCCTTTCTGCATCATTTGTGGTTTAGTTGGTGGTATATCCACTGAGTCAGGAGGTTGAGTTCATTTCCTACTACACTCCTGAACAAGTGCTGCGTTGTTGGCGATGCTGTCTTTTGGATGAGGCAGTAAAGTTTAGGCCTTGCCTCACTATTAAACAGGAAATATCCCATTCCATTTGCTTTTTTTAAAGGCCAATTTTTATGAATGCTCCACTAGGTCACGCAAAGAGTGCACGTGCCATGGAGTTGACAGAAGGGAATGGCACTGTGGAAATGTCTGACGTTAATATCTGTATTGGTGAATGATGGGATCAGATTGAAGTGGAGGGAGCAGGACAGGTGATGGTTGGAGATGACAGGTCCACTACCGCTGCCTCCTAGCTAGAGCACGGAATGCAGTAATATAGTAGGCCTGTCCTGTCACAGCCACATCTATGCAAGCGCGGCAGCCAAACTCTATTATGGATAATCACTGTTGGTTACAAAAAATCAAATTAAGGATATTGTCTGAAATTCAGGGCCGCAGCAATTAGATTGGAATTGTGATTTTTCTTGCTCATTTGATCTTATCTGATTTAAGCACTTAACAAATCTAACGGTTGTCCGTTATGTTTAGGCTGGACCTTTGTTAGGGCAAACTATTTACATTGTCCCTTTACCTCTCTAGTTCTAAATTGTTATCTGCCTCAAATATTTATCCAGGTTTTTTTTAAACTGCATTGATCCCAGCTCCTTCATGTAGCAAAAATCTGAATAAAGAAATGTTTCTCTCTCTTTCTATGAATTTAATGTGTATTTTAAATTGACTGTCCTCATCACTGATGCTGCAAATTCCTTTATCAATCTTGAAATTTTTTTTGTACAAATAGTTCTGGTATCTTGAGTGTCTGAAACTGTTGCATTCTAGTTATCAAGAATCAATGTGTTTCTTCACTTTTTGCTGTTGTACTCCAAGTCCCTATTTATAAACAATGAGATCCTGGTGTCATGTATCTTTTATCCACCTGCCTGGTGTGTCTGTTTATTTGTGCTTTTCAGAGTTTTTTTGTTAGAAGTATACTTTTCTTTCTTGATTTTCCTATCTACTTTTCTGACCTTGATCCATCTCTGTCTCAAATTGCATTTCCTATCTGACTGCCTATTCTGCTAGGAATTCACTCCATGTTCAATTAAACTCTGCATGATTGCACCCTTGCCATGATGATATCTGTAGTTGTGCAAAGAGAAGGTGCACCATCACCTATCAGGGCGACGAGAGGATTGGAAATAAATGTGGCCCTGCCAACAACACCTACATGCCAAGATCAAAACAACTTGACTTTGTGATCGAGTTCTGGATGCTGACTTTCCTAATTTCCTATGGTCTCCCAGGCTGCAGTATCAGTTGAGACCTGGTGGGCGTAGCCTCTAAGCCTACACTATAACTTGTTAATCACAATGTGTTCTTTTTCTTGTTTGTGTAATCTGTGATTTTGGTTACCAGGATTAAATGTTTAATTCAACAGTACTTCCATATAGTACTCCGGGTAATTATGCTTGGTCTTTACAATCTGGAAAACAAATGTGTCATTGTCTGTAGCTTTGATCCCAGATCCAATCTGCCAAACCCCAGCTTTGTTTTAATATGCAACTTATTTATTGCATTTGTGCCGTAGCCTAGCCCTAAACTGTAACCACAAAGGAGCAGTATTCTGTCGGAACACCCTCGCCCCCTCCAAAGAATATTCAGTTATCATATGTGGACACTGCTTCTCTGGTTATTTGTCCATACAGTGACCATCTGTTGATGTGAATAGTTTCTACACAGAAGTTACAGAAATAAGCAAGGGTGTTGGATTCTTACAAGATAGATACACACAGACATTGCTCAACATTGCTCATTGCTGACATTCTGACTCTCAACCTCCTGGTGGTCTTTATTGGTATAAATGTTGAATGCCCTATTATTTAAATCCCTCCATTGCCTCATTCCCTCCTAATCTCTGTAACTAGCTCCACTCCCTCAACCTCCAAGAACTCTGCATACTTCAAATTCTGGTCTTTTGATCATTACTGACTTCTGTTGCTCCATTGTAAGTGCTGCACCTTCAGGTGCCCAGATTGAAAGCTCCTGAATTCCCTCCTCAGTGCCTCCATCTCTTGACACTCCCTTTTCCTTTAAGGTGAATTGTCAATTATTTGGTCACCTGTCCTACGTAAACTGCAAATGTCACTTTGGGATGAGGAAACAGAGACTAATTTCTAAAGAATTTCTACATTTTACAAAATCTGGAAGTTTGAAACTTGGAGAACTAAACTTTTTCTATGAAGTTTTGTTTTGCTTTTAAATATAATACTGCTCTGATCCAAGGTCTCCCTCACTTGTTATTCTTATACTTAAACCTCTTTCAAACAATGGCAGGGTAAAAGGAGCAGAAGGCCCACTGATCATCTATCTCTGCTATTTTACTCCACCCTGCCCATATCTCTTGATGTCATTAGTATGCAGAAATCTATCGATGTCTGTCTTGAACATGCTCATAGATTTGAGCTTCTGCTATTTCCACTTCTCTCAAATGAGAAATACTGACACAGTCTGTGTCATTCACCTTGGAGGAGAGATTCCAGTTATATAAATAAAAGTTCTCCAGTTAAAGACTGCTAATATACTAATAGTGGAAGATAGTTAATATGCTGAGAGTGGGAAATGGCTTAGATTCCTTGATTAACTTGTAATGATACAGTAGTTTTAATATCAACATTTTAATTTGATATCTGCTCTGGGTCATGTTTGTTTGGATCTTCACTTGCTATGTGCTAGGACTTTACTTGTCTATGTTATTGTGTTAAAGATCTGGAGAGCCCTGAAGGAATAGCTGTCGATCATTTGGGCCGCAACATCTTCTGGACAGACTCTGGACTGGACAGAATTGAAGTGGCTAGAATGGACGGAGACCAGAGGCGGGTGCTCTTTACTGATGACCTTGTGAACCCAAGAGCAATTGTTGCAGATCCTGTCCATGGGTACGTACAAGAATGAAAGCTCTCCCAACCTCCTTTAAATCCTCAAAATGCATCAGGAAGAAAGAAGTTGCATTCCCTCAGTGCTTTTCTCATCCTCAATGCCCTGAAGCATTTCCAGGCCAACTAAGTACAAGGAGTTCCTTCCTTGCGCCTCTTGTTATGAATTCTAAATACCTTGGATTCATGCAATTCCACAGTCATTTTTTTTTTAAGGAAATGTTTGAAAGGTGGGTACCTGGTTTATGAGGTTACCATCAATATCAATGCCTCGCTATTGACTCAAACCAATATTTCTCTGCTCTTTTCATTGGTTCCCTTTTGAAAAGCCCCAGAGTGGTGTTTAGAAAGCTGGCTGTATCCCCGCCCATCCAAAACATAAATTGGATTCTGATGCTGTAGCTGCTATCTATTTTAAAAGTAAATTATTTTGTCTTTCATTCATTTGAAAAATGGCATAACTGGGGGGAAAAATCCTTTCACGCACAGGAGGAAAGAAGAGTGGGACTAGTAGGTGGCTCTTATAAAGCGTCAGCAAAAGTACAAATGGCCATCCCGGTTTCTATATCTTCATGATTCAACATGATTCAATTGAACCAGTTAACTCCCAACAACTGTCAGGTAACATTTCTACCAGTTGACATTAAACTACCTTTAATGAACAGAAGGAAGCACATAATTCACAACTTTACACAGATTCTGGTGGAAGAAAATGTGATCACTCAGTGGTCAGTAAAAGTAATCATGAAGCTGTTGGAGAGAGGTAGTAGGAACTGCCGATGCTGGAGAATCTGAGATAACAAGGTGTAGAGCTGGATGAACACAGCAGGCCAAGCAGCATCAGAGGAGCAGGAAAGCTGACATTTTGGGTCGAGACCCTTCTTCAGAAATGGGGGAAGGGAAGGGGATTCTGAAATAAATAGGGAGAAAGGGGGAGGTGGATAGAAGATGGATAAAGGAGAAGATAGGTGGAGAGGAGACAGACAGGTCAAAGAGGCGGGGTTGGAGCCAGTAAAGGTGAATGTAGATGGGCGTTGGGGAGGGGATAGGTCGGTCCAGGGAGGACAGACAGGTCAAGGAGGCAGGATGAGGTTAGTGGGTAGGAGATGGGGTGGGGCTTGAGGTGGGAGGAATGGTTAGGGAGGCGGGGACGAGCTGGGCTGGTTTTGGGATGCGGTCGGGGGAGGGGAGATTTTGAAACTTGTGAAGTCCACATTGATACCCTTGGGCTGCAGGGTTCCCAAGCAAAATATGAGATACTGTTCCTGCAGCCTTTGGGTGGCATCATTGTGGCAATGCAGGAGGCCCAGGATGGACATGTCGTCCAAGGAGTGGGAGGGGGAGTTGAAATGGTTCGCGACTGGGAGGTGCAGTTGTTTATTGCGAACCGAGCGTAGGTGTCCCACAAAGCGGTCCCCAAGCCTGCACTTGGTTTCCCCGATGTAGAGGAGGCCAAAACGGGAACAGCAGATATAGTGTACCACATTAGCAGATGTGCAGGTGAACATCTGTTTGATGTGGAAGGTTTTCTTAGGGCCTGGGATGGGGGTGAGGGGGGAGATGTAGCACTTCCTGCGGTTGCAGGGAAAAGTGCCGGGGATTGTGGGGCTGCTGGGGAGTATGGAGCGGACAAGGAAGTCACGGAGAGAATGATCCCTCTGGAAAGCAGATAAGGGTGGGGAGGGAAAAATGTCTTTGGTAGTGGGGTCAGATTGCAGATGGCGGAAGTGTCGGAGGATGATGCATTGGATTCGGAGGTTGGTGGGGTGGTACGTGAGGACGAGGGGGATTCTGTTTTGGTTGTTATTGCGGGTAGGGGGTGGGAGGGATGAGTTGCGGGAAATGCGAGAGACACGGTCGAGGGCGTTTTCGACCACTGTGGAGGGGACATTGCGGTCCTTGAAAAACGAGGACATCTGGGATGTCCAGGAGTGGAATGCCTCATCTCGGGAGCAGATGCGGCAGAGGCGAAGGAATTGGGAATAGGGGATGGCCTCTTTGCAGGAAGGTGGGTGAGAGGAGGTGTATTCTAGGTAGCTGTGGGAGTCGGTAGGCTTGAAATGGATATCGGTTTCCAGGTGGATGCCAGAGATGGAGACAGAGAGGTCCAGGAAGGAGAGAGAGGTATCAGAGATGGTCCAGGTGAACTTAAGGTTGGGGTGGAAGGTGTTAGTGAAGTGGATGAACTGTTCGAGCTCCTCGTGGGAGCACGAGGCGGCGCCGATACAGTCATTGATGTAACGGAGGAAGAGGTGGGGGATAGGGCCAGTATAGCTTTGGAAGAGGGATTATTCTGCATATCCAATAAAGAGGCAGGCATAGCTTGGTCCCATGTGGGTTCCCATGGCCACCCCCTTTGTCTGTAGGAAGTGGGAGGAATTGAAGGAGAAGTTGTTAAGGGTGAGGATGAGTTCAGCTAAGCAGATGAGGGTGTCAGTGGAGGGGGACTGGTCGGGCCTGCGGGACAGGAATAAGCAGAGGGCCTTTAGGCCATCTGCATGGGGAATGCAAGTGTACAGGGACTGGACATCCATGGTAAAGATGAGGTGTTGGGGACCAGGGAATCGGAGGTTTTGGAGGGCGTGGGTGGTGTCACAGACGTAGGTGGGGAGTTTCCTGGACCCCAAGGGGGAGAAAATGGAGTCGATATAAGTGGAGATGAGTTTGGTGGGGCAGGAGCAGGCGGAGACAATGGGTCGACCAGGGCAGTCAGGTTTGTGGATTTTGGGAAGGAGATAGAAACAGGCGGTGTGGGGTTGGGGAACGACGAGGTTAGAGGCTGTGGGTGGGAGGTCACCTGAAGTGATGAGGTTGTGGATGGTTTGGGAGATGGGTTTGGTGGTCGGGGGTGGGGTCATGATCAAGGAGGCGGTATGACGAGGTGTCGGAGAGTTGGCGCCTGGCCTCGGCAATGTAGAGGTCAGTGCGCCATACTACAACTGCTCCTCCCTTGTCCGTGGGTTTTATGGTGAGGTTGGGATTGGAGTGGAGGGGGTGGAGGGCTGCACGTTCTGTGGGGGAGAGGTTGGAGTGGGTGAGAGGGGTGGAGAGGTTGAGGCGATTGATGTCTCGATGGCAGTTGGAGATGAAGAGGTTGAGGGAGGGTAGGAGGCCTTGGGGTGGTGTCCAGGAGGAGGGGGTGTGTTGGAGGCAGGAGAAGGGGTCTGTAGAGGGAGGGTTAGGCTCACGGTTAAAGAAGTAAGCGCGGAGGCGGCGGAAAAACTGTTCAACATCCAAACGTGAGTAGTATTCGTTGATGTTTGGGTGGAGGGGGACAAAGGTGAGCCCTTTCCTGAGGACTGACCGTTCGTCCTCAGTAAGTGGGAGGTCTGGGGGGATGGTGAAGACTCGGGAGGGCTGGGTGCTACTGTCTCCTTTGGAGCTGCTGGCTGTGGAGGCGGTGGGCGGAGCGACGTGGGCGGAGCAATGTCGGCATCGGTAGTGGGCGGAGTGACGTAGGCCGGTAAATCTTGGATGTTGGTGGCAGTGATGTCCTCGGAAACGGAGGCGGCGGCATCAGCAGCGGTGTTGATGGCGTTGGCTGTACCGGAAGTGGTTTACTGGGCGGTGGCAGCGGATGTGACATCATCCGTGGAGTCCGTGGGTGCTCCGAAGGTGGCCACATGGCCAATGGTGGCGGGCACATGGTGGGGAAGGTCCTGGGTAGGGTGGCAGGCTCCAGTAAGTTTAAAGTACTTTCAGTTTTTAGTGTCCCATAAAGCCAAGTAGAATTGTGCGTTCAGGTTGTGGATCCTACGAAGAATAAAAAACAGGAGAGGTCCTTTGCAGCATGTTAATCCAATTTGTTCACTAATGTCCTTTGTGAATTGCAAAACCTTTCATCTGTGGCCAGTTTGTGCCTGTATGTGACTTCATTTTCACGTTAATGTGATTAGCTGTTCATGGAAGTGACCCACACAAGCCACTTAGTCATATCAAACCACCACCAGTGGATCAAGAAGGTAGCTCACTAAAACCACAGCGTAATTAGGAACGAACAGTAGACAAGCAACATCCACAACCCAGTAGTGAATGTAAAATATAACTTATCCACAATAAACTTCATCGGCTATAGTTTATCCCATTCAGAACTTCAGTGGAACAGATTTTTCTGGTCTCGGGATGCTCTTGTTTCCTGTTCTGCTGGCTAATTGTGTTTCATTAAACATAAAAGAGTAAGATGCAGTTCCTGTGTGTGGAGATCTGGTATGGCACATTTGTGACTCCAACTGCATCCCACTGTGTTTGAATCTCACATGTGGTGCACTCCAAGCCTTGTATAATAGATAGTTTTGTACTGTGTGCCTTTTTGGTTCTGTTTTTGAAGTATTGAAAGACTGTCGTGCTGAGCACAGCTGATTTTTTTAATATAACACGAGTCAAAAATTGCTAAGCAAATATGAGAGAAATTGTTATCGAGGGAGAGTAGCTGTTGCAAGCTGAATAAGGAAATGAGGGAAATCTGGTCAGTGTCAACAGCAATGGATCATGTTTCTGGTTCACGTAGATTGGAGTTCAGCTGAACACTGGTCAGAGCACAGGATCTTATGACAGCAGTTCTGGTTCTGATGTAGGAGCATGTTGGGGTGGGCAGCTAAAACATTGACACTAATCTTTTACAACAAATATATTAAAATTGTCGTAACAAATGTTTTGTGTTTTATAGTGTAAGTGTAGGTGCAGAGGAGACTTGATGAAATTGTACCAAGGGTGAGAGAATTCAGATATGTAACAAGATAAAAAGAGATGGGATTATTCTCCTTAAAGGGGAAATGGTAATAAGGAGGATCAATCACCAGAAAAGAGATAACAAAGTGTAGAGCTG